TGGCTTTTTTACTTTTCATTCCATCCAGGAAGAGCGCACACCAACTGCTGAAACTTCCCTAGCCTGACAAAAGGTTTTTGAACCTGAAAACTTGCTTAATAATTGTTTTCCAACTATTTAAGTTGGTCTAATAAAAGATATCAAAAGTGATTGTACATTTTGAACTATTTATTACATCTAGTGTGTGTGTACCGATGTATCTAGAAAGATCGAGATATACAAAAATGTATTCGTACACACACATATATATATACATATCTGTGCGTGTATTAGTACAGTTTTGTACTACTATTGATCGTCTATCGCACAAGGGTTAAAATTACCCTACGACGCCAGTAATGAAGGTGCCCCCAGCAACAGTCCAGTGGACTGGCTCTGCGTGAGTCACGTGGGGGAGGGCGCAGGGGGCGAAGCCGACCCACGGCCGTTAAACGGCTCAGCGCCTCCGCCCTGCTCCCGCTCGCCCCCACTCACGAGGCACATACCGCATCAATGTGAGACTCCCCACAGCACAACCTGAACCCTGTGCAGGAAGTGGCGTATTGAAGCCGAGCGAAGGGGCGCTGCCAGGCTGGCACAACGACCCCAACCTCCCTTTTGCCTTCCCGCGCCTGCGCCGCTCCAGCCCTGATAAAGGGGAGGGCGCGTCTCGCCCAGAGACCAATAGGGTCTGGAACTGCCGCGAGGCTGACGTCACGGGCCCTGTAACTGATTACCTGCGCGCGACCGACCCCCGCCCCTTCTCATTGCGGCGCGCGCAGCTTGTCTTCGCTCTGTCCGTTTCGCCAAAGACCACGTAGGCAAAGCCGCGGGGGTTGGCCCGGAAGTACTTCTGCGGCCTAGTCAGGCACTTCCGGGCTCCCGGCAGGCTTCCCCCTTCTACCCCCCTTTCTCCGCCACGCCGCACGGACCTGCAGCAGGTGCCACCGCCGACACCCCGCTGCCTCCCACCGGGCTTCACTCCCCACGCACCCGCCCCGGCCCCCTGCGGACATGCCGCTGCGGGGCTCGCCCGGCGCCGCGGGCTGGGGGCGGCGACTGGCGGCGCATCTAGTGCTGCTGCTGCCGCTGTTGGGCTGCGCGGTCCGGGCCTCCGAGATCACGTTCGAGTTGCCGGACAACGCGAAGCAGTGCTTCTATGAGGAGATCGCGCAGGGCACCAAGTGCACCCTCGAGTTCCAGGTACCGCGCGGGCCTCCCCCACGTGTCCGGGCCAGGGCCGGCTTAACGCATAGGCAAGAAGTCAAGAAGGGGCCCGGTTCTGCTTATTTTACGCATTACAATTACAGCGCAGGGTGGAAACGAAGGAATATAAACATTTTCTCTTCAGTCGGGGGGCCCCCGAGTTTGCTTGCCATGGGCCCACTAAAGGGTTGTTAATCTGGCCCTGGCTCCAGGTATGCCTGCAGGCCGCACCCTGCCCGCATCAGTCAGCGGCTGAGCCAACCCTTAAATATGAAATGATCATGTTGTTAGCTCAAAGTTATTGTATTTGGTGAAAAACAAACCGTCGACACTGAAACAATACGCAAATAAGCCTCCTTTACTGCATATTGCTCGCTGTAAGCCACCAGCGAGTAAGAACTGGGTCATCAAAGTTGAAACATTTCTTCATTTCGAGGCAAGCAGTTGTAAGAAAGTGTTGAGAGGAAACTCAAAAGTCAGTTAAGACTGAGAATGGCTTGGGTTTTGCATAGGTTGCATCACTTAGCTGCCTCAAAAATGATCAAACGTTTTGAGCACTTTTACTATTATGGATTGTATATCGTACAGGGGTTGAAATGATAGTACGAATACAATAATTATCATGCACTTAGCAACACAGCACAGCACCCCCTGCCACACTGGATGTAGCCCCCCCCCCCATGAGTCATGGCGCAGGCTGGTGGGGGGGGGGGTGGTCCGACCTGGCAGCTGCACTGGATCTGGCCCCTGGAGCTGTGCCCTCCCCCCTCCAACTGTTCTGGGAAGATTGGGTACCAATAGCGAAACCTAGTTCAGAGGTGAAGCCAGTGCTGTCTGAAGGTAGTAGGCCCTCTGCATCCAAGGGGTGTCCCTTTCCTGCTATAGCATAGTATGCATGCGGGTGGCCAGTTTGCTCTGCTGTTCAATGTTACCTGTTTTGCTACAGGAGGATGCAAAGCCTGTTTCTTTGTCTGGTGTGCTCTGGTGGAGAACGTGCATGAAGGCAAATGCCATAAACACACACAAGTTGGGTAATAGAAGAATAAAGGCTACCAAACTCCCTTGAATTTACTCCCCTTTGTATGTGGATGTTATGCTGCAGTCTTTAATTATCTCATGCATAGTGTATTTCCACCAGGCCTCTGCCTCGCTTCAGTGCACAGGATGTATGGTGCTTACTGAATGGGCACGTTCCTTAGTGACCAGCTAGTTGGTGCTTTGTTTTTTTCATTGATGGGTGACATATGACCACATGCCAAATACAATGTCTGTAATTCAAATCCTGCCCTGATGTCACAGTTAATGACTGCTATATAGGCTTTTCTGGGCCTCATTATCGCTGCTGAATTAAATGTTTTGTAAACATTAAATTACTTTCTCAACAGTGTTCTTGTTACCCCTATTTCAGAGGCAGACATCCATTAGGAAAAATAGTGGGATCCAATGGATTGATTGTGTCCTAGTGGATGCGTACTTGGGTAGGGGCTGAACTAGGAAAAGCATAATTGTCTTATCTAGTAACTCTTCAGTACTTGATTTTGAAACCTTGATTATCTTCTAATGTCATTTGTATCTATTTTTCTGTGTTTCTATAAGCAACAGGAAAAAAAGATTTTTATCATCTGTTGTCATACGGGTACTTGCTTGGTTCATCTGCAGGCCTTCACCTCTTCCAGATTGGGGGTGTGGGGACCTGGTTTTCCAATGGAGGGGCAAAATGACTTTTTTCCTCTATTGTTTAAATCATTTTTGTCATTCAGGTTGCCAAAAAACGGTTCCTATTAACTTGATACTTAAGGGAATAGCTCTGCAAGCTAAAGTTTTATCTTGGAAATCTAATGTGAAATTTCTGAGGGTACTTGCATCTTAAGAAACAGTCATTTGAAACATCATGTCACCATAGGTTTCAGCTGATGTTATCAGTTCAGGGAAGTGACACCACCATACATTTTGTGCAACATAACTTGTGTTACAGTTGTGTTTTAAGAGATGAACATGTAGCTGTTCACAGTAAGTATTTACTGAAATATTAAATTGTCAGACATAACAGAAGTTCTAAAAACTAGGTTTCCCTTGAGGACTTGTTATATACAAAACTTTTTTTAGAGTTCTGCAGTGCATTACCTGTATACCATGAGGCTTCAATTTTTTTTAAAAGAACAACAGTAAGCTGTTTTACTTGTAGTATTTCCTTTCATTTTCTTTTTTGTGTGAAAATGAGACTTCTCAGTCCCAGTTTTTACCTGTTTTACACTGCTCCTGAGTGCAAATGAGATGCAACCTGATGTAACAGGTTGGGTGTGCCATACTCTTCCAGTCATGCAGAAAGGTGGTGTGACTAACATTACTACCTGCTAGCAATCCTGATCTACTAGAAGAGCCACAGTCCTGTTCCAAAATCAGTTGGATTGTACCTGAGGATTGGGTGAAGGAACAATGAAGAATTCACTACATCTAACATTCTGTTGTCTTAACTTTTATTTGTGGCCTGAATTCAGTTTCTTGTGTCATGTCTATTGTGGTCTTGTGAATGGCAAAAGTAAATTAAACTTTCTAAAGTATGTAAATAAACTGCTTGAAACCTACAACGATTACAATATTTTGTTCTGAGGTTTTCTTCTGTTGGTGTGAGACACAAATATATAAAACAGTTCATTTCCATAGACCAATATATAAATCAATTGATCATCTCTCATTCTACAGGTGATCACTGGAGGTCATTATGATGTTGACTGCCGGTTGGAAGATCCTGATGGCATTGTGTTGTACAAAGAGATGAAGAAACAATATGATAGCTTTACCTTTACTGCATCCAGGAATGGAACATATAAATTCTGCTTCAGCAATGAATTTTCTACTTTCACACACAAAACTGTGTACTTTGACTTCCAAGTTGGAGAAGATCCACCTCTGTTTCCTAGTGAGAACAGAGTCACTGCCCTAACTCAGGTAAACTGCTGATTTAGTTATAACAGACAAAGAGCAGATAGCAAAACTCATCCGTATTTGCTCTAATTTTCCTGAGTTAAGTATCCATATCCTTTGAAAGTTGGTGGGACTAGGTAGTTAACCCTAATCATGTAGTTTTTGGGTGGGTTTTTTCGGTTTGCTTTTTTGTTTTTAAAGAAGCCTGAGAACTCAACAATTTTTTTTATGTTAAACTTGGAATTTATAATTGAGCTTGCGGAAAACTAAGTGGCAATAATTAATCATCTGAAGAAAATATGATAACTAGGAACTTAAACTCCTAGTTAGCAATAGTAAAATAATTATCAATACATTATTTAACGAAGTTAAGATAAGTTTTATGGTGGAAAAGCACTACTTCCTAGGACACAAAAATGTTTAACAGCAAATGCACCAATCAGTTCCTAGATGCTGTTCTGGTAGGAGGTGGCAGATAAATGTGGGATTGCTGGGAAACAGTTTCCTCTATTAAGGGGCTCTTGTACTCTAGCTGGGTGTTAGTTTAACTGGACTCTAATCACATTTTGTATGCTTATTCTTTTTGCAGCAAAGTATAACAGATGTGTACATCTGCTGACAGCCATGTGAGCTCCCATTCCAGAATGGCAGGTGGTGATTGGGTCAGCTGAAAAAAGCATAGTGCAGATGAATGAAATGTACTTAAGGCTTACAGACTGATATCTCAATGCCCCATATTTTTTACTAATAACAGTTCATCCTTAGAGTAAAATATTTGTTCTTTTTAATCTAATACTAAATGTTTAACTAATGTTTAAATAGCTACATTGAGGAAGATGATAACCCTCTGAATTATTCTGATCACAGGCTGGCATCTTTGTCCTAAGGCAGCTGCATTTCAGCACCTTGACTCTACATGTGTGTGAAAGGGGATCTGTTGCAGTTTCATTTTTTCAAACTAGACTTCTTAAGTTGCCCTTTTTGCAGGAATATTTGATACACATTACATTGAAAATGTAATGCATTTCACACTGTAGGCTTTCTTGAGGGAAATCTAAATATTCAGGTTAACAACCTGTCTTATTTTGACTTGGACACTTAAAGAAAAGACTAGTAGTAGAGATTGACTGGACTGGAACCAAATTTGTTTTGTATCTAATTTGCTTATATTGTAGGCGGCGATAAAAGTCACTCCAAAATAGCCATTTTAAAAGTATGAGCATGCTCCCCCAAATATCCTCAATGTCCTCTTTCCATTGGCTTGAGAAGATCCAATATTCTCTCTCAAATGGGTTTTACTACCATGATACAAAGAACACCTGGTTCCAATTCCAGTTTTTTGTAGTGAAGTGGTGGGAAAAAAAAAGTAATTACAAGGACCTTCTGCAACGTGTGTGCCCCATGCCTTCTCTTTTCCTCATCTGCTCCTGTCTGCTTCACCTCCATTCAGTTACTGTCATCTACACTTGCATGTGCTCTGGATCCTGTACATCTCACCCACCCTATATTTCGTTTCTCCTCGTTTTCCCATTTTCATTCCAGTGTGGCTACTTTCAGCATCTCCTCATCACTGTTGGGACACCCCCCAAGAGGGAGCATCAAGAACACAGGAGAGGCACAATCTTTGTGCTCTGTTCCTGTGTTAGACACCTTGGTAGCCCCTGGTTTGTGGAAGGAATCTTCCTCATTTCTGGGTTGAAGCATGCTTAGTTCAGCCAGAATCTTAAGGGATTTATGGTGATACATATTTTATATTGTATTTAATATATAATTATACAGCTAGTATGTGGCTATTTTAAGTGAGTAAAATAAGAAAATATGATGTCTTTACAAATCTAGTGTGTACTTTTTCTGAGGTTTTATAGATTTATCTAACCTGAGAATTTTCTGTAGGATGACCCCGTGACAGACTCTTAAGTCCTTGCTCCAAAGCTGTAGAGTTTCTCAACAAATCTGCTTTTGGAATTTAACTTGAGCAAAGCAGTATTATCTCCAGAGCATGTTCTCTGGATATCTGAAAAAATTTACTGGCTGGGTAGGTACTTTAAAAAAATCAGTCTGGACAGTTAGTTTGACAGTGATGTGAGCAATTAGAATGTGATCTCATGGGAATTGTCAGGCAGCCTTAATTCCAGGTGATTTTTTTTTTTTTTTCCACCTCTTCCTAACATTTGCACCAGTCATCCTTTAACAATATACTAGACTAGTGTATTTTATCCAAGTAAAGTTCAGAGTGGTTAAATACATGGTTACAGTAATTTCTGAGTGGAGATAAATATGGCCATGATGATGCATCTTTTGCAGAGAGGAGTCGCATTTCAAGCTCTCTTATTTCTGTAGTAAGTGACAAATGATTGGAAATAGTGTTGCATCCAAAAGGTTTGAGGGAAGCAGATTAAGACTGTCTAGAGAAGGGATGCAATAGTTTATAAGCAATGGCACAGAGGATCAGTTGTGTATCCCTGCATTTTGTCCTTTTTAGAATATAGAACAGATGCATCCAATGACACCTGAAGGGCAACAACTGAAAACGAAAAAATGGAATAATTTTTATATATTGCATGATCTGGAGAATGCTCTGCCCAAGATTACACTAATTGAGATGTTTTCAGGATTTTAAAATATTATATACATGGCTTAGAACAACCACAATTCTTAAAATATTAGTGTATATAGCTATTAATAGTTGACTTTTTTTCTTTATTAATGCTGTGATGCATCAGCTTCCTGGAATTGAATCAGGGTGTCTTGTATCTCTGCTGCTACTGATACACAGAGGAAATGGCAATACTGGACTAAACCAAACAGTGGTGTTCTTCAGTATGACATTCTTATATTTCCTTATGAATTGAAAATCATGTGTTTGTTTGAGTCTTGAAGATCAATATCTTTTGTATTAAACCTGAATGGTTGGAGAAAGTTGTAAAGTGTGTCCAATTTGACAGTTTAAAAGAGAATAGAGTGAAACACTAAGTCGTAAAATTATGGTAAGGGCAGCAGTATACACTCAAATAAACCCCCTTTTTTTTGCTACTACTCTAAAAATGTTTTTCTTTTTTTTTTTTTTGTCTAGATGGAGTCTGCTTGTGTTTCAATTCATGAAGCTTTGAAGTCTGTCATCGATTATCAGACTCACTTCCGCTTGAGAGAAGCACAAGGCCGTAGTAGGGCAGAAGACCTGAACACGAGAGTGGCATATTGGTCAATAGGGGAAGCAATCATTCTTCTTGTAGTTAGTATTGGGCAGGTGTTTCTTCTCAAAAGCTTCTTTTCAGATAAAAGAACCACCACAACCCGTGTTGGATCATAACTACTAGTGAGATGATGCCTCTGATCCAATGCACACTTCATTTGTAAAATTGCTATTCTCCAATTAATTGTAGGTACAAAAGAACAAAATATGAGCAACATCTTAAATATTTTTGCCCGTCCCGGTTCAGTAAAAGTTACAAAAAATACCCAGAAATTGTGGAAGGAATGCCTTATTTGAAATATTTGGAAAACTTTGGAATGTACTATTTTTGGATGTTTTATATTAAACATCCAGCAGTGACCTGTGGGATTTTTTCATTTGTTTTGTTTCTACTGATTAATCTAATTTGTTTGATATTACCAATAAAATTACCCATGTGCGGTATAATGCTTTAAAAAAATGTTGAAGAGTGTACATGTGAAAAATTGATGGCATTTTAGTATTTTAGGCTGAAGGTGTCAGAAATGAAAGCAAACGTGAGAAGCTGTAGTCACAAAACATTGTACTGCATTGTTTTGATTTGCTGTGATAATCCAGCCATCTTTCTTTGCTTATTTGTAAAGTGTTACAAGCTAATACTACATTGCGGGACAGATTCTCCAGTAGCCTGATATCTTTCCATCTTTGACACTTTCTGAGTTTTATACTTGGAAATATTTATGGGAAAAATCGCATTATATGCTAAAATGTAATGGAATTTCTGTTTTACTGAAGAAAATGTAGACTGAGACTACTCAGGAAACAAACTTTCAATGCTCTGTTGATTTCCAAGGTTTTTATTTTTTAAAAAAATGCAATAAAATAGGGAGAATCTTGTAATTTTGTGACTGAAGTTGTACAGTCTTTGTATGCTGCTGATGCTTTCCAGAATTTGACACCAGAGGTAAACTGTCTTAAGCAGCAGAGCACCAACACTGGACAAGGTTGTATAACATCTTTGCAAGGCACATATAAAGCTTTTATCATTATCCTAGTGAGAGTCCAATTAGATACTTACATCACACAGGTTTTGTAAATTTTATCTCCATGGGCGTGGTGCACTGATACATAATGGCCTTGGGCATCTAACTACCACTTCTTTGCTAATGGTCATGTGATATTTTAAATGTTTCAGGGTGTCTTTTTGGTAGGTTTGTAGACTAAATTGTTTCCATTCCTCATGTCTTGAATAGTTGTGGTAGAGTTCATACTCTGCAAAATCTTGCTTTACTTGGACATGGGAGATAGCAAATATGTGTACATAAATTTCTTAAATTGAGCTATTCAGAGTAAGGTTTAAGAGCTCCATCAGATTATTTTGAAAGGAAAAAGGGACTTGCCAATTCTCAAGCGCACAGGAGAAATTACAACTAAAATAAGACATGAAAATGCAGGGCTTTCATATATTTCAATTCACAATTTTACTAAAACTAGTGCTGCGTACTTAATCCTAGCTTAAAAAGGATAGAGATTGATTTACTGCTGGTATTGACCATTTATTTCCCACTTCGGAAAAATTGTAAAAACTGTATATATACATATTGCACTTGGACGCGCTGTGTAAACTATGGTTATTTGAAATTAAAATGCTCAGACTAAGAAAAGGATGAACTAGATTTATCCTTGTGAATTGACCCGTTATTGTACTCTGAAATATTAAAGAAACTAAAGTTAACTTGATGCTGTTGAAAAGTCACTGGGGTTGGTAAGTGAAAAACATGTTATCTCTTAGTTTCAGAAATCCATTTGATGTCCTCGTAAATAGGGTGGAATTTTTTTGTTCAAGTACAGCAATTCTGTTTTCTTGGGATGGTGGGGGAGGGGGAACAATGGCAACACTGACTACGAAGTTTCAAAAAATACTGATGCACAGACTTTTGTCACAAACACCATAGGCCTGTGCCTGCATGTGATGCTCTTTCCTGATCGTGCCTGTCTGCTTTACCTCTTGTGTGTTGTAGCAAACCAGTCTCACACAGGATTCATTTAGGCTTCGTTACACACACTAATGAGACAAACAGCACAGTTAGTGCAAGTGTTGCATGTTTGCTGTGGAAAATGAAAATACCCACTTTTGACAGTGTCCCATTGTAATCTTCTGAAGCTTGAACTATCACTTGTTAAGTAGCTGATCAGTTAATTAGTAGCTTAATTGCAATGGAAACCATTTGTTTTAAAGAAGTGAAATCAGTTGCTTTGTGTTGCTGTCAAAATGGGTAAATAATGGTGTAGGCCAAATATTGGCTTATCTTCACATATAATAAGTTAGTCTGTCTTTCCTGTCTCTCTTATTTCTTAATGTTTGAATGTGTGAAGTGGGACTGTTTGGTTCAGTATGCATCCCACTGCAAAAGGTTTAGCGGAATTGACTTTCAAATTGAAGTTGGGTATTCAAACCAATCCTCTGGTATATTGCTGCATGATATGCAGTGGTAGTTTAAAAATGCCTTTATTTTTATGTTCTAAAAACATGGCACAAATACACGTTTAAACATAGTTGTATATATTTTTAGAGTAAGTGGTTGAATAAATAGGGCATAACAGACGTTTACTATTTCAACAGTGGGTGAAGAAACTTTCTAAGATGTTGGCTGAAGCTGCATCTTCCTTTTATATTAAGAAAATGGTTCAAGTAAGAGGTGTGGTGCACAAATAAATCACCCCAAATTGATGAAATAAAACTCTGAACTGCAAAAGGCACCAGGCTTTTGACTATTCCTTGGATGTTTTATGTTTATGGAACCTTTTTATGTCCTGAAATGTCACTTCCTGTTTTAGTTTGAAAACCTTTGTTAGTTTGAATAAGACAAAAAACAGACCCTGTGAATAATGTATGGGAAAATAAAAATTAATATATGAACATAGTCTTACTGGATTTTTATTTGGTGTGGGTGGGGGAAGCAACATTCTGAGAAGTGTAAAATTGAGCCAGTTAACTTTTATTTTAGGATAAGTATCTTTAACAATATTTTATAAACCCAAGCAATCAAGTTGTAGCTACTAAATTATTTTCCCTTCCATGTGAACTTGAAATTGCAACAATCAGTGTGCCCCATATCCGGCTGCAGTCTAAATGACTGTAACATGCTATCAGTTTGGCTACAGAGCCACTAAACAAATGGATTTATGTATTGCTGCTTTATTGTTACTTAAGCTTTCATACTGAATGTCTTGCACTGATATTTGCTAATCTGAACTATTAATTTGAGTGGAGTTTAAGGTGTCTTGGCCTTTGAAATTGCAGGCAACTTGGGATCTCTTTTCTGTGATGGGACCATGGGTATGAGCCATAGCTAGCAATTATGTGACGATATATTACGTTAGTATAAAATAATAATGTCAGTACATGGCTAATATAACTGAGTAAAATATGATTTTTTTACAATCCATTGGTTCACTCATTTATGGCCTTTAACAGACACTTTCCTCTCCGTAAGAGCTGCCTTGTCTCCCCAGAAATTCCCAACAGGTGGTACAAGTTAACCTGAACCAGACTGACTCTACCCTGCTCCCAAAGTAACTTAAATAGGAAAAGTGAATTGCAAAGCATGAAGGTCCTTCTTTTTGCATAAAAGACCCTCTAACTAGAATTCAGACTCAAAACATGACAAAACCCATGCTTTTCCTCTACAGTAGCATAGTAGAGTGGGTACATTCTAATAAGATGTACTGGATAAACTTGTTTACTAGTAAATTTTTTAATAGCTGATTTTTAAATAGTTGATGAACATAGAAGTCCTTTGGCTTTTAATAAAAGTACTTTATCTTATTTTGTTCTGGATCTTTATAGCCCTTTGTTTTGCTCACACTTGAATACATTCTGCTAGCTGTCTTGGTATTCTGCATAGCGTGACCTTATGTTTCTATGATGCAGTTAACTCCTAAAAAACACTTCTACAAGAATCTCTTTTCACCTGCTGCATATACTCGGACTTGGATTTTTACCAAGAGTATGTGGTACAAAATCTTGATGGCAGTGAACATACGAATTGCTATTCCAGGCTAGGGCAGAATTTTTCCACTGTTTTTTCTCTGCCAGTGCCTGACAACAGATGCTTCAGAGGTGGATGCAAAAACCTGTCAAGTGAGAAGTAAGTAATACCACACCATAAAAAAGCTGCAAAGTGCCTCTAGAGGTGGCTTTCTGAATTTAGCTGTGCATGTTTATGTCTCTCCCAGATATTTACACTTAACAGTAGCTGTTGTCATATACATGTTCATTTGTCTTTCAGTTTGGTTGAGCTTGCCCTCAGTAATACTGGTAAGGATGAGTTCCACAGACTAATGGTGCTATGTATTTTACCAGTTGTTAACAGAGTAGCATCTTACAGTGAGAGAGAAAAGTAAAAATCTTTCTACCTTCCCTTATGCTTCTTTTATCTTATACCCCCTTCCTGGTTTTCTCTTCAGTCATCATTGGAGGATTTCTACTACAGCTCATTGATGGGTCTTAGGGATTGGACTCTTAAGTCATCCCAAGCCACAGACCCATCTGCACAAGTTGCAGGTCTTCCTGTAACAGAGAGTAGGCTGGGGGCTAGGATTTCTCTCCTTTTCCTTCCTCCGTTCTCTCTGCTCTGAGGGCAAGACACTTGATTCTGAAATGGGCTGCTGTTTGGTTGAGGCTGCAGCACCACCAGAGTCAGCGGGCAGCCAGCTCTTCAGTTTCTCCCTGGGCTAGCAGCTCCCACCTCTCCCTCAATACCTTTAATGTGATTCATACAAGTTTCCCTCGCTGTATGTGGGTTTTGTATGCGCAAACTTGCTGTTATGCGATGACCCTTTTTATACCAAAAATTCATTATCTGAGGTAAATTCACTCTTAGCGATTGGTGTGGTAGAAGCCCACAGTCAGCTGCTTTGTGCGGTGTGTTGTGGGAGTGATGCGCACCAAAATATAGTCTCTTGTGTGGATCTGTGCCCCTCACTCATCTGCAATGTGTTTCTGTAGTTGCCATCCCCACGATGGCTTCTAAATGTCCTGCTAGCTTATCTCCTACCCTGCTCCATCAATGAAGCACAAAAGAACTTCACTAACACTGGAGACCCTTCACTACCCTCTCGTCATGCCAGCTAAACATTCTTCCCCACCATCATGTGCTGGTGTTCGTGAGTACCAAAATTGTCTTGTAAAAGTGGTAGAACTAGGTCTGGGGGTCAGTACAGTTGAGGTCTTGGATCATATTCCTATTTGTTACATTGTCAAGTGGGTTCCCTGGATGCAAATTTGAGTCATGTGCCATTTTCCAGGAACACATGTAATAGCAGGGGTTCCCAACCTTTTTATGCTGTGGACCAGCAGTGACCAGCATACTGTGGGCAGGTAGCCAACCCTTTTTTTTATTTGGTAAAAAAGGGTTGGCTCCAGTCTGCAGTATGCCAGTTGCTTCTAGGCCATGGTTTGCCGGTCCACGGTCACTTACAGGTGTGCACCCAACCCTTCGCAGCTTGGCACCGGGCTGCAACCTGCGAGTTGGGAGCCCCTGATGTACAGCATAAAGCAAGGGAAACCTGTAGTGGTGCTGTAGCTGGGATGGTCCAGAATTTTTTTAATATAATTTGTATCCAAGGTGAAATTAGCCCAAACTAATTCCAAATCCAAGAGTTCAGAACCATAAGTGGCGCTACTACTGGCAAACATCTTCCACCTGCACCTGAGGCTTCAGATCTTTCCAAAACCTTTGGCAGGCATCCTACTTGCAGGCCCAAGCCTCGCGGCTTGGGGTTTGGATGCTCCTGCATTTTGCTTGCCCTTAGCCATAAGGACCTCGGAGCAAGCAAGGGAGGAGACTCCTATTTCCATAAACTGGGCTTTTAAAGCTACTGCACATCAGTGGGTACCGAACCACGCCAGAAGAGCAGTTCTCCCGTGAAGTGGTTCAGGAAAACTGCCTTCTTGGGACATGGGATTTCCTC